CTCCTGACAACCACCTATCTGCACTGCCCTGCCCTACCCCACACGCCCCTGCCAAATCACATACCTTGGATTTCCGGGCCCCTTTCTTGCCTCCAGCTTTCTTTGACACTGGCTTCTTCTGGGATGGAGACTTGGCCTTTTTGGCTGGGGGTGGCGTGATGATGGCTTCCAACTTCCCTTTGGATCCTCGTTTCTTTGCTAGCAACTCTGGGTGGATGTTTGGTAACACCCCGCCACTGGCTATGGTGACTCCTTTTAGTAGCTTGCAGGAAAACCAAAGTAGCAGATGGTGAGCTAGACCAGCCTGCCCCTGACCTTCAAGAAGTCAGCCCTGCCCATCCATGCTTTTGATTTTGGTTGGTAGAGTTCCTCCCTCCATGGCATCTACAAGGATGCTGATGGGACTCAGCTCACTACACAGGGAACAAGTCTTCAGAGTTCCTCACTAGGCGGGAGGGGTGGTTCATTTGAGAGCCAAATACCTTGTTTCATCCCTGCCCCCCACCCCCAATAAGGCCTTCAGGAGAAACTTCCAAGGGGGGCAGGGAAGCTGCTAACAGTCCAAAATGCAGTCCACACCTTTGAAAGCCAGCAACTTGCCAACCTCCCTCTGCACAGACAGCTCTGTCTCTCAGGTGTCTGGGGTAGGTTGGCTAGGAGAGCCCCGTACCTGATTTAGCTCCTCATCATTGGCCACGGCCAGCAGGATGTGCCGGGGTGTGACCCGTCCCTTCTTGTTGTCCCTGGCCGCGTTGCCAGCCAGCTCCAAAATCTCCGCTGTAGGGAACAGAGGGGAAGAGCACATGATTGCATTAGAGCATTGGAGGCTCACATGCATCCTCCTGACCCCCACTCATGGAGATGGGAATGGACACAGTTATCAGTTCACGAAGCAGCTTCCTGAGGTGGGAAGATGCAGGCAGTATGCCTGGCACACGTTGAGCTAAGTCACAGAAGTGCTAAATCAACCCCTGGCCCAACCCTGTTTTGGAGGTGAAGACAGAGGCTTACAGAGGAGAAGTGACTGGTCAAAGGTCCCTCAGTAAGAAGTGGTAGAGCTGAGATCTGAACTTACTTGCCAGACAGGGCTGCCTGTAGTCGGCATTCAGATGTCACCAAGACCAACCCTGATGAGCCAATGGTGTGGTCCTAAGAGTGAACCCTGCCTGCATGGAACTGAGCAATGGGTCATCATGGGTTTCGGGGCCTCAGGGGGCAGTGGCATTTTACAGGTGCTTAGTAAGTCTGTCGATGAAGTTGATGTTGACCACCTGCACACTCAGATTCAAAACTGGAAGGAGATGACTAGACTCTTTACAAAGTCAATGTCATAAAAATACTGTCAAACCTTGGTTCTCAAATGTCTCCCATCTTGAATGATTCCGTTCTTGACCAAGTTGTTCACAGAAAAAAATGTCTCTGTTGTCAAAACAAACTTCAGTTTTCTACCTCATCACCCTTTCATGCTGATACCTCAGCATGACAAAAAGTGTTTCTCAGGCAACAAAGGAGAGAATGTTTTTATTGCTGGTGAAATCAATGATTAGCACAACTTTAAAACAGAAAGAGGCCATCAAGAGTGCTTACGCCCACCCCTAGCTGGTTTGGCTCAGTGTATAGAGCATCGGCCTGCGGACTGAAGGGTCCCGGGTTTGATTCTGGTCAAGGGCACATCCCTGGGTTGTGGGCTCAATTCCCAGTAAGGGGCGTGCAGGAGGCAACCAGTCAATAATTTTCTCTCATCATTGATGTTTCTATCTCTCTCTCCCTCTCCTTTCTTCCCTGAAATCAATAAAAATATATTTTTTAAAAAAGAGTGCTGATGCCCAGCACAGATGGACCTATCTCTTGCTAAGTGGAGAAGGGTGCCTGGGAAGCCTAAATGACCTTAGGCCTCTCAGGTTCCTGGCCAGCCCAGTTTGCCCTTCGTTCTCCCGTGTTCATGGAGCAGGTGGCACGTCTGTAGTGCTATTGCCCTGACTACTGCCCGGGAGGGAGCCAAAGCAGGAGTCTGACCTGAGCACAGACCCTGAGAGTAAGGGCACAGGAAGGAGAGCCTGTCACAGCTGTTGCTGGACTGGAGCCCGTGCAGCAGGAGGGCCGGAGAGGGGCTGCTGCAGCATGGAGCTGTAGCTCACTTGGCTGGCTTCCTGGCCTCCACCATTCCTTCCCCTCCCCTGCCTGCCCCCACTTTCTGAAGCCACAGGTAAGGCCATCAGTGTCTGCAGAGCCAGAATATACAGGAGGCAGGTGGATTACAACCTTTTCCCCATAATGTGTCCCCCATAAGAAGTCTTTACCTGGCCTCAGAGAGAGAAAGCAGCACTCACAGTGGTGCCCTAAGCCCATCCCTTTGGCAAGAAGACCGTTTGAAATTGCGGTTTCTCAGAAAAGTGGAGGGGGCCTGGTTCCTCTTCCTGCTTGGAGTGTTAGTGGAAGGCTCTCCCCATGAGAAAGCACAGAGATCGGTGGGGGTGGGGGGGGGGGAGAGGAGGGATGTGGTCTTCTTATTTTTAGCAGTGCTGCTCTATTGGTGCAGGGAAGATGGAGGTGATGAATGCAAAGCCCTGAGGGTGGGGAAGGGCCTGATTTGGGTAGGGGACAGGCAGTATATAACACAGAGAAATAAAGCAATGGAGTGACTTATAAGTAGCATCCATGGCTGAGAAATCTGAAGATCAATTCTCCGGAATTCCCTTTGACTTCCATGAGCTTTTCCCCCCCATGAACTCTCACACTGTGGATGAAACTTCTAATGGCCTGAGCTTCTATACTTGGACTTGCAAGGACTGGACTCACTTACTGCTAATTAAGCAGTGGATTCTGTGATGCCAGACTAGATCCATCTGAGAGTGACAATGAGGTGGCGTGGAGGGCCTGGGGGAGATGTGTGCAGTGGAATGAAGTATGATTTGGCTCCTTGGAAAGAGCTGGGCATGAGTGTCATTCTGTTGCCTTCTTCTCCAAAGAACCAGAAAATCCAAGACTCTATCCTTTTTTGCAAAACTCTAGCTCACCTTTGAACTCAGCCCTGTGGAGTGGGAGGGAAGCTGTATCAAGTGGGGGCAAAAAAGAGGGGCAGAGATCCATACTCCAGCTAGAATTGAGCAAAAGCCTTGTCTTCCATTTACTCCTGCCTGTTTGCCAGAGGAACAGTTACCATAGTAACCCCTTCATCAAGGGACACAAAAGACAGAGCACCTGGGAGACACACCTTTTATGAGAAGTGGGTGCCCTGCCCCACCCTACACTGCAGCACGAAGAGGGCTGGGCATTTTACAACAGCCAAGGAAGATAGAGGAGAAATCTGACTGATAACAAAAGCAGGAATCCAGGGCACAAACTCCCCTGGCCAAGTATTCATTAAAACCCACCCTTTTGTCCTCAGTCTAACTGTAAAAGCCCAGTTGCAAAAGGCTTTCCTGGCTAAGAGAGGGCTGCCTGCTGCAGGGGAGGGGAGGTGCAAAACGACAGCAACTGGACAAGACGGAACAGGTCCCATCTGCCCTCCAGGGCATGTTCTGGAAGGAGAGGGTGCCCACACTGCTGAGGAATTGGGGCAGGGTGTGAACCACAAGATTTCCTGATTAGGTTTCCTTCCTAGTAAGTGATCTGGGCTTTGCAAATGATAGAAAGGCTAAACCATGAAAGCCCAGCTCAGCTAGACATGGATTCCTGCCACTGCACCCGAGCCCACAGGGATGCCCCCCCACACACACACATACACTGGCTGCCTTCTGGGCTAGGGCAGAGCCAGCATCACCTGAATGGACCCCACACCTCACCTCAGGGGAAGGTGTCCTGCCCTTGATGCAGCTTCTGGTTTGGAAGGTTCTGGGCAATTCTAAAAAAAATTTGTAACTTCTGCTGGTTCAAAAGAAAAGGAATTCTGAGAAAGAGAACCAGGAAAACACCAGATCTACAGATGCAAATCCTTTTCTCCAGTTTCCAGAGCTCAAAGCTTGCATCCTCTCTTGGAGGGAGTTTTCAGGAGCCACAGCCCTGGGGGCTGTAACCACAACAAATGGAATCCATAAGAAACCACAGGAGGAAACTGGAAAGAGCAGTTAGGAAAAGAAACAGTCCCCTTATCAGGTTCTCCACTCATCAAGCCAAGTCTTCCTAGTCAGTGATAGTTTCATTTTGTTACCACTGACCAACTCTAGTTTGGGACCTAAAGCACTTGGGGTCAACTCTGGAGATAACCCTAAGTGTGGTAAGGCTCCCTAATTATAAACACTACGAAGGGGACATACTGAATGAACACCACCAGCCAGCTCATGTGCTATTTTTTAAAGATCTTGTTTGTTTATTTGTTTGAAGATCTAATTTTCGAGACACCCAAGAAGCTTGGCTCCCACTCTACAGCCTTTGTGCTGGCCTGGACCTTATTCTCTCCTCAGAGCAGCAAGCAATGCAGAGGCACCTTTGAGCCCAACTTTCCCCAGCCTCACTGAGCGAGATCATTTTAAGGCCACTTGACAAAATTCTCACAGCCTTGAATAACAGCATTATCTGGCAGCCTTTTCAGCTACAGACCAGCTGTCTGAATATGAATACCTTTGACAGGTCTACTTTCCAAGTTCACCCAGAGACCAAAGGCTTAGAGTCTTTTTTCCCCCCCCTCCAAACATCTTGAACTGAACCATATCTGCTGGATTGAAGCATTCTGTCTATCTTTCTTTAGGGAGATGAAGTCATGGTTTGCAGAATTAGACTCCTAACAGCTAACAGGTGATGTGTGGAGGCTGCGCCAAACTCTAAGCACAAGCCTTGCAAAGCAGAGAGTTGAGGGCTTCTACAGAGCAGTTTGAAGCATCTCCTCTAACAAAAGAAATACTGGGAACAACAACCAGAAATCAAAGAAAAGCCAATGTTCACGTAATCCCAAGGAGAAAACAGGTATTTGCTACAAAGCCAACAACATGACAAGGAATCTGTTTATTGTCATTTCTTCCCAGTCACCAGGCTTCCATCAGCAGTTCGCTGAGTTCAAAACTGTTTTACTCCATCCCTGAAGGCCTTAACTCATCAACCCCAATCGGAGAGTGCTGCTTAGGGTTTCCTGCACCCTGACTGCACCAGTTTCCTCCAATTCCCTCCAGGGCCCAGAGTCCATTGGCTTACATCCCACCTTTTCAGGAGATGAATGGCAGAGTCTGAAGCCTGCTGGGCCATCGACCCAGAGCTCCAGGGCCTCACTTGTGGCCACAGCAAAGCTCTCCAGATCTGCCTGTCCCAGAAGCCTCAAAAGGAACCAGGGATTCCACAGAGAAAATAAAACCTACAGCAGTAATTGAAGGTGGTGTTTTCTGTGCAGAGTATAAGGTATTTTATAAGAATGAGTCATTTTGTTGCTTTTCTGTAGATGTTCCAAATCTGACACAAACTTGTCCTGCTATTAAGCCCACATCACAGGCCCCTCATAAGGGCCAGGAGTTTAAAGGTCCAGGTGGCAGCATCTGTCCAGTCTATCACCTTCCCCACAAATTCTCCCAATAAGACAGAAACACAGCTTCATTGGGGAGTTTCTAAAGTCAGCTAATTGTTTTTCATACTTCAAAGTAAAAAAAAAATTGCATTATACATATTAACAAAGAGATATTATGATTCTTGCCAAAAATTACCTTCATCTAACCCACCAACAGAGCCCCGTGCATGAATACCTTCCCCTTCCGGAAAGCCTTTGTCTACCTTCCCAAATCTCAAGAGCTTCTGTGTCAGCCACCTCCTCGGTCTGTCTTTGGTGGAGGGCAGGAGCCACCAGCACACCGTGG